TATAGCACGACACGCAGTGCACAGGGGGAACAATAGCCAGTAGGGCTGATATAGAATATCAACTATTATTTGAAGAACATTGAGTAAGTTATCTTTAAGTTTGGTGTAACTTACTTTGATTATGCCTACATCAGCAAGCTGCTTCCAGCACCTCTGGTTTTGATTGAGAAGAAAACTGTTCTTTCAGATTTCTGTGATAAAAACGTATGGCCAGTATGTCTCACAAAGGCATTATATAATATGACATAATCAAAATGGATTGATTCACCTTTTTGTTTTTTTGTTTTTTATTTGGCAATGCCATTCTATTTGATAAAAAAAAATCTGTTTGTCATTATATCTCCAACATCTAGGTCTAAACATTCTAAGTCTTTCATAATCACTGGTATCACATTGGCACAGGGCATATAAGGTACTTTCATTACTTTGTTGATTGGACTGGATTTCAGGTCTCTGAGAGGATGCTTTGAGCCAAATTCACCAAGTGCCACCCAGGCACATAGCTAATATTAGGGGAAGACTGATTACAGCGCTACTATTAGAGTCTGGATTTTTGCGACCAAAGTAGGAACGCCCTCAACACCTCTCTTTGGTCTCCATGCCCTGGCTCTTTCGATGGCACACAACATGATATTAAGAGGAGCCAGAGCAAACATGCCAAGGCGGACCACAGGGCTACTCACAGCCCATGCACATTCTTCTGAGGCTGAAACCTGATGCGATCCTATTTTTCAGCAGCTTGTCAGACCCTTCAGAGATGTAAACTCAGAGGAAAAACTGTTGTCACCTTCGTATGGCGCTTGCCTTCTTTGACTGACAAATGACAACCTCAGTGCGTGGGTTGGGGATGTGTGCTGGCAGCTACCTCAGGCATGGAAGTGGTAGACTTACATCAACAGCAGACAATATATGAAATCAATTCATAGGTAAAGCACTGGACATGGAACTGTGGTAAAGCTGTAAGTGCAGTAACCACATGCTTTAAAGCATAAGTGCAACACGTAAAACTATAACTGAAATGACAGGCTAATGACTCTCTCTCTCTCTCTCTCTCTCTCACTCATATATATATATATATATATATATATATATATATATATATATATATATATATATATATATATATATATATATATATATATATATATATATATATTATTTATTTATTTATTTTTTTTACTTTTTACAAAATCCAAAATTAAACTAATACCACATATAAATACTTGGACAGACCTTTTGGAGTTCAGTACTATGTAACTGTGGTTGTCACCACACTATAATGACAGCTCCACCCTCGATGTACCCACTGTGAGGGGACAGGGAAGAGGAAGTCTTTCAGTCACCCAGGACATACTTCATTCAGTAGGAATGGGACTACACTTTGATTGACAGGGCTCAGTGTGAATGAAGGCACTTTGTAAATCAATGTGTGAAGAACGATGTCAAGTAAGAATTTTGTTCAGGAGTATCATCTGATGTCTGAAGCTCAACTGGGATGGGCCAATGGGCCTGGTTAGTATGAGGATAGTAGACCACTGAGAATAAGAGGTTTGTGGTGGGACACTAGTCTAGTGCATACTATTGTTGTGTCCTTAGGCAAGACACCACCCACCAGACTTATGTGGTGTGTACGGGAATAATTTGTAGTGGACGGAGGGACCAATGACGCACATTGACAACCTTACTTCAGCCAGTCTACCCCAGGGCAGATGTGACTACAATAGTAGCTTACCACCCCTTGGCGTGGAGTGAATGAATAATGCAATGCAGTGACTATAAGAAACTATGGATTTTAGGTGTGGGGGAGAGACCAGTTAGTCTGTAATAGACAACTATTTTTCATGCTTGTCTGTACTTAGTCTGTAGACCACATAAAACATTCCTCGATCAATCATTTTTTTGACGAACATTTGAAACTATTTAATGCTCTAGGAAACATAACCACTTTATCATTAAAATATACTTCTATAAATTTTCATTTCTGAGGCCACTTTCCCAAGGTTTAGGGACAAAATGAATTAGCAAACAACATCTCAGAAGTTAGAATCCAATTCCACTTTATAAAATGAATTACCCCTAACCACAAAGAAAACAAAAGATGGCAAGTTTATTTTCCTGTGGTGAGACCATTTCAACAGAGCCATTATTAACTTACACCGTCTTCAAAGTCACCTCAATCAAGGCCTTCAAGCCCCACTGAGAGAGGGCATATTACAGCACTGTGTAATGCACTTTCACATTACAATTAGTGAAACTTTTTGTGTATTTTGCTTAAGGCAGGAAGGAACATCGCTTCAGGGTTTCGTGCAGTAAACCTGGCGAGCACATTGAATTCCAAGCTTTTTTATATGCATTTAATTTATCTTTATATTCAAATGTTGATTTAATGATTAAATCTCATCTGATTTGTTCATTGCAGTCATAATTTCCTTGAAAACAAGAAAGAAACAAAAAACAGATTTCAGTAAAGAGGCAGTTTGTGTTTGTTTGTATGTGCCTCCAAAGGGCTGTAAGTGGCCAGTGTGTGGTCAGACACGCAGCACTGCTCTTGGCTCCTGACCACTGCTGGCATTCATTGCATCTGTACAGAAACAGCTGGAGGCAAAGCCAACATCGTCCCGCTCAGCAGCGACAGATTCCATGACTTTCCATAGCCCCATGTCGCCATGCCAACAGGACCTGGCAACACGTGCATGTCCCGATCTGCATTCTGCACACCTGGCCCACCAAGAGTCCAGACTCTCCTCCCCTGTCACTGTGTGATGAACAGGTCATTTACAACTCAAGTGTTTGTGTGTTTTTAAGAGTTATGGGCCCAGCTAAAGAAAACACAGCCCACTGGACCTCCTGTGTGTTGCTCTAATCAAACCGAGCTGAGAACCTTCACACTGCACAGTTACACATGAATTAGTCCACATGGAAACCTAGCAAAGGACATGACAACATAAAGTGAAAATAACTAACTTTATGTTGCTCAATTAATAAAGAGCTTGTCTTATAGTACATTTGAGGTTTGAGATGTATCAATTTGTGGTAGTGTAGACACTGAACATCTATGCATCTGAAAATCTTTTTTACCTTCTATGTATTTTAAATGTAACTATATAATAAAGTTGAAAACCTGATATTTTAAGTGCTAAAATTCAGATTTCACTTTGTGTATCTTGGAAAATCTTTTCAAAAAGAAGCCAAATTTGCAATGGAGAATGCACTGTGAGCTTTTTGGTACTTTGGAGGAATTATTACAACTTTGTCGGCGCCACCCATGATATCTAAGTCTAGCGGTACAGCAAACACAGCCTCACACATGAAGGGTGGAGCAAGGCTTCTGGAAGCAGAGAAAACATGATTTGTGTATGGATGTCCAGCATGTGAACAGCTTGATGGATGGAGGACTAGAGAACACAGGCAAATACTTATTAGTGTATAAAGAAGTTGCAGACTGCCAGCTAAGAGGGATGCGTGGGCATGTCCTCTCTGGTAAGTGATCAGGTGTTTGACTGTCTGGTAGGAAGGAAGTCCTTATTAATGTTGAAGAGAAGGCCATGGCTCAGCAACCTCAGGCATGCTCGCCCACACACACTAATGTACTGCTACGTCCAAGTAGCACAGACCTGTGCCCATGGAGCTTCATTACTGTATGAGGACACAAGTCCAGTTAAGACATATTATCAACATCTTTGAACCACTATTTATTCTGGTCTTTAAAAATACATTACAATACATGATAGGTTTAGTTTAGTTCAGTATAACTGGATAAAAGATCTGTAGTGAAGATGTTTCACCACTCATTAACATGGGACACAGCCTTATATTGGTCTGAAGGGAGGAGTTAGTTAGTTTCAATGTAGTTAGTGCCTCCTAACACTAAACCAGAACTGAAGAAGCCAGTTGTCCATTTGACAGAATAGAATTTTCTTCTACTATGGAATTTACCTGGATGATTGATGGATTACACATATCTTAGTTCAGTTTAGTTTAATTAAATTAATCTTGGGGAAAGAAGGAATCTGATTGGTCTGATATTGATATTCATAATTTACGGACAAAACAGCAAAACAAAAACAGCACGATAATGTAGAGTAGTTCAAAATGAAACTTTTAAGATTAAAATTATGAGACTGGCAGCAGTACTTACTGAGAAAGGGGAAACAATTATTCAATAGAAGTGAATTTGGAACATGTCAGCTACAGGGTTAATGCTGTACAATATACAGTCTAATCTATACAATCTTTGTTTTTAACCCATCATTTCTCTAAATACTAGTATGCAGTTAAACATATAACTTTGTGAAACAATCACACCTAAGCAGCCACTTTTCTCCCATTATAAACACTGGGTTTACACCAGTATTTGCACCCTGTAATCCTGGTTTACATTTAAGCTTTGCACTCCTTGGAGAAACTTTAATATAAACATATTAGGCTTGCCTCAGTGTTTCCAAAGCAGCTAACACAAGACATCTAAGAGAACAGGATCTGACCCTGAAATAGTGACACACACAAGTCTAATAAAACAAACACAGCTAATTTCCTCTTGCTCATATGGGACAAAGAAAGCACAAGTTTATACTTGTGTGCCAAGGTTGTCAGTTACCTTGCACAGCAAGACACATTCCTGCAATTTGTGACTTCACATACTCCTTCCTTACTTTGCTTTAGAAGAGGACTCTTTTAGAGATATATTGTTTGTTATGGGCAAATCTTCGACAGAAACAAGATGGCACTCCCAGTTCATTTACCATATGCCCAACATGTAAATTGCTCACACATAGTAGTAAAGTAATGCATTTGTCCACCTGTATCACAGGTTGTATGTTAAATAATTAAAAATAAGTAGCATTCTATCTTGCTTGTAGAAGTAAGATTTGATGACAAAAAATGATGAGTTACAGTTGATTACTAAGAGACTATTCTGGCTCAGAACAGCCATAATCTTATGAAAACGTTCCCCTTTCGAAAAGCTGCAAATTGAGAGGTGCAAAGTGAGGCTGAGGAATATGTATGCCAGTCCCTGTGCCCTGGTGAGTGCGAGGCGGGTGGCCCTTTTTAAGCAGGAAAACGCTGTCCAGAGGCAGTCTTCAATGTTCATATTCAACTGCCAAGAGCTGCTAGCTCTTAGCATGTCCCAGGGTCGGCTGAGAGGACAAGAGCACTCAACAAGGTCTATGCATTGAGTCGAGTCCATTTAAAATAACTAATGGATAAATAAATACAGGACCCAGGTTCACTGTACAGTAATTGGTCAGGAAACCAGCAGAGACAAGCTCATTTACAGTAAATGGATCAGCTTTGAGTTGGTGAAGTGCATTTGGCTCAGAGAGACCATCAGAGTGATCTGGAAATTTAGCATGTTTAAATACTCTTTAACACATTGCACAAGAAAATAATAATTATAGTAGCAATTTCTAGCAGCAGTGGTAAACTACTAAGATACTGACTGTTTTACATTTTCAGCATCTATTCAGAAACACAAGCTATCTCACACAAACATACAGCCACTCACACAAAGGTGGGCAGAGTAGCCAAGTCCTCAAGTAGAGTATAATGTATGTACTTTGGGAACAAAAAATACTGCCACAACCTGGTATTTTAAGAGGCTGAAAAAAAATGGAAATGAAAAATAATAATAAAATCACAACAAAAGGAGCAATGAAAGAAACACACTTCAAATGGGATGAGTAACCAAAACTTTTACCCAAGAAAGTGTACTGTAAAATATATTACTCATATAGGAGTAAAAGTATGGTGTCTGAAAACTTACAGTATGTCTGAATTATATATATTTTTTATATTATATTTATTTATATTTAAATGTTATTAAATAAATATAACTAAGAAAATGGAACTACCCACCTCTGTACACACACACACACACACACACAGTGGTTTGTCTGGCCAACCCTGTTGACCCAGTGGCTAAGCTGTGGCTGCACGCTGGACGCAAAGCACTCATTAACGATTTGAGCCTGCTCTTCACTTATGTAAACAAACAGGCTGAGCCCGTCATTACCGTAACGCCATGTGTGTGTGGTCTTCTCAATTAGACCTCTATTGATTCTTCAATTTTCACAGAAACTAGAGCAAAAAAAAGAAGAAGAAACCCTTCAATTTGCCTGTTGAAAAGACGTGCAGCACAGACACACACTTCCAAATGGTTCACATTTTTCTTATGCTATGACCCTCTTGGTAGTGGCAGCAGCCTAAAGTGTGTTCCCAGCCAAAGCCACCACAAACCTCAAAACATAAAACAGCACAGTTAGTTTTACACCGCATGTAAAATGCCACCATAACCAACTCCTCGCCATTAGCTCCTTCTGCCTCAGACACAGAACTCTCTTTGCAAGGAGGAGCAAAGCGGAGTGAAAATGTAAGCTGTGCTGTGTGATCTTTGGCAGTCACACACAAGTTTATGGTAATGTTTTGGGTGATAGGTCAGGGACAAAAATGTGTGTGGAGACTTTCTGGAGTAGACAAAAGAGACATACAGCTTGCATAACAAACAAATTGGCATAGTAAAAGTTATATTTAATCTGGTTTGTTCATCCTTAATAGTGTGTTATTTGTTTATTTCTTCCTATAAAATCAATAGGAAATTAAAAAAAAACAAAAAAAAACAATAGTTTATTGGAAAGAGAATACACTGATGTTTATTTTGTATTTGTAAAGATAAAATATATTAAAGATGCTCTTGTGGTGGACATTCTGTAAAGTCTGGACAAGGATTGTAAGACAAATAACCACCACAGAATACTATATCTAAATCTGCTTAGATGAGAACAGAGCTTTGCCGGGTGGGAATCATTTCATCTTAGCAATGCATTTTACAGCAAAATGTCCAATGACAGATATTTCCTGTCTAAAAAATAATAATTTAATGTACCTATGCTCAGGACCAAGTCTGGACAACATGCTTTTGTCCAAGTGGGACCTCCCAGACTTACTGTCTCCAAGAGCCTGACATTTATGATTAACATTAAAAAAATAGTTGTAAATAAAAAATGAGACCCAAAGCTTTACCTGCAATATTATCATATATCAAACCAGATTCAGTAACAGACAAATGTTTGAATGTTTTTATAACCCTGAGAAGGGTGAGGTAATGCTGAGAATGTATGTCCCTTAAAATGAGCAGGCAGCAGCCTTCTCTGATTCTCAGTACTATCCCTCATACTGTACCAAACCACTGCTGCTACTATACCATAATTCTCAATCAATAAAAAAAAAAAAGACTTCTTACTATGAATCACTAAAGCAAATCCAATAGACAAGATTCATATGACATTAATATTATACAATTATAGAGAATAAAGAATGATTTTGAAGGCAAAAAAAGCATATAAGTGCCTGAAGGCAGATGTCTTATGGAGTAAATATAAATGTACAAAGATTTAATCTATTCTACCCTCCATTTGCACTGGGCTTAGCAAAGAAGCACAAATAATCATCTGGTTAAAAGTATTTTTTGTTTTATGTAAAACTTCTGAAAATGATGGTGCGTGTGCTGAAATTATCCAGGGCATTCCTGAGGCAACAGTTTTGATTGTTAGGTGTGAAGGAATAGCCCACAATACAAATTTAAAACATGTCTATATTGAGCTATGTGAAATGGTCTGTAACTTTAAAAACCATTAAGGTCATTGGTTAAGCCTGCAAAAGAAATTTTGAGGTTTGCCATCATAACAGTGTAGACCAGAGACCAAGAGATCAAAGCCCTGAGTTTAGACCTAGGCTACAAAGATTTCAATTACATTGTAAGATTATATTACAGCATATATATTACAAATAAATGTGATGTGTGATGTGCATTGCTAATTGTGTATTTTGTATTTTCACAGTAATCTCTACAGGGACACAGATTTTACATTTAAGGATAATATTTTCAATCTAACAGAGGCATAGTGGTAAGATATGTGAAACAGATCGGTACAAACGAAATCATCTTCAGTGTTTGTTATCATGAGTCAAAAGCAGCATTTCTGGCTCCTGCCCTCTATGGCTTGGTCTGCCAGGAAGGAGATTTTTTTCAGGTGAGGTACTTGCAAAATGGATTCAATTTAGCTGTTTCTTCCATAGCCAAATGTTCAAGTCATGGATGTTAAGGGCAGACTCAATGAAAATGAAAAAAGCTAGCTGTATTTTAGAGCCAAAGCATATTTATACCACCCCCTCCTGCAGAATATGTTGGGTCTTGACTCAAGTAAATAGTAAGCCCTGTATTGAGTTATTGGCTTCTAACTGTTAAAAAAGTGACTAAATCCAAAAATCATCAACGAATGTTGCATATTTATGGCATCTAATTAAAGATACAACTTTATGTAATAAGCTTGTGTTGCAATAACTTTTTTTTTTTTTTTTAGTAATAAACTATTTTAAGGGTGCATTGTCAATGGCCATTGTCAATGGTATGTTGTCTTTTCAGATTTGTTTTACATATGTGCTTTGCTGTCAATCTATTTTTCTATAAACCACTGGTTTTGAATATAAATGTTTATTGGTGAGAGCAAAGCTCTGTTTCCTATGAGTATGCAAGGCCACAAAACCCACTGTAACCATTCGGTGGTGAGCTGGTTTGCTGAGGCAAAGTGAAGAGAATTGAATGACCTGCAGTGAGCGACTGTGGCTTGACTTTCTCTGAGGTTATGGTCACTCTCCCCTGGGAAAGTGGTTAGGCTCCTGTTTACTTTGGAGTAACCCTGCCCCTCCCCTTGAATCCTCCCTGTGTGGTAACTCATGGCTGCTTCCATTACTGCTTCCATTCAGACCTCTATCAAATTATTACTATGAAAATCAATCTTTAAAACTATCAGTCACCCAATAATAATTGAGGTTTTGGATTTTGCTGTAAAGGACCACCTTCTTGTCACAGCAGGTGTGATTGAAGGGGGATGAAGGCTTGAGGGCTGGGATATTGGGAGGTGTTAGAACTAGGTCTAATGGGCAGGAGCATCTACGGAGCAGTTAAACTTTCTGTGGGTTCCACAGCCAGACAGAAAGAGCGAGCTCACAGTGTTGAACCTCACTCTCTGCTCTTCTCGAAGTCTGGCACACACAAAGTGCTTGCGCTACACCTGATGAGACGACTGCAGGAGCTGCTTTGTAGCTGAGGGGCTGCTAATGCTCTTTCTATCTATATCTTACTTTTAAATGGGGCATTGGATGGACATAAATAGGGCAACACTCACTGTTGGGAGGCAAATGAATGGAGCTTCTTCACAGGAGAATTCCCTGGGTTTTCATCACATCAGTGGATCTCAATTTGTTTTAAAAATGGAATAACGTTGGACAGAATAACTTTTTGAAAGATCTACAATTTGACAAACATGTAAGTTCATGTTCTTGCTTGGATGATAATATTACTTATTAATAGAATTTAGAAATACCAAATGTATACAGGCCTTTATAATGTGGAGCAAAAAACATTACAAGCATGTTTTATGCTCCATATGTAAAGAATTATAACATGAATAATAACAATAATTGTGTGTTCTGTTATCTTTAGGTTGTGCACTGTAAGCAATCTACATCAGTGGAGTTTGGCTCTCTTTTTGCTTTTAGCTCCACTGACTCTTTATGGAAGGCCATTTGATACATATCGGAACAGAATGTGAGTATATATGTAATGTTCTTAAACATCATCAAATATTATAACTTTTAGGTTTTTACATTGTTATTTTTATCGCAGTTCCTCTGATTCTTTTGAAGTTTAGCTAGTTCAAACTTTGAACATTCTTAGAAATGTGTTTATATTGCTTACATACACATTACATGTAGATGTTTTTGTCCTGTTAATAATATGTAATTTTATAAGATTGACTTTTAATCAATAGGCACAGATCAAAGCATGGGCTGAGTTTTATGTAATATGACTTATTTAATCTGATTTGTCTGTCTGTTTGGTTTAGACGAAGGTCAGTAAGTCATGTTCAGCTAATGCATGACAAAGGGCGCTCCTTGCAGGAGCTGAAGCGTCGCTTGTGGTTACAGGACCTGTTAGGGAAGGTGCATACAGCTGGTGAAAGTGATCCACACATGAGCAGGACATCAAGCCAAACTTACAGTGGGAGTTCTGTCCCTCAAAAGCCCCAGGGGGCTACCAAAGACCTTTCAGAGAGGTATGGGCTAGATAACCCTGTACTGCCTCAAGAGACCAACAAGGCTGTGGCATATAAGGACCAAACACTAAAGCTGGCAATCAAGAAGAAGAAAAAGGTGCGCCTTGGACGACGCAGAGAGAGTGACAAGAAACGCCGAAAAACGCGGTCAGTTAGAACAGAGGGTCTTGGATAAATCTGAATAGAGTTCTGCATTGACAATGAAACAAGTTCAGCTGGACTGAGGTTGAAGACATTCAATCTATGATACAAGTGACTGCAGAAGGATTAAAAGCAAACTGTATGTGTAACTTTATAAATAAATATCTTTGGCCAATATTTAATTCAAAATACACTTTTTGAATTTATAGTGATTAATCCAAATGTGTAAAGCTGGTGCTTAAATACATGATGCACACCTGTATGTTTCTTTATTTTTGGACAAATTATTTGCCACCATCATCTGTTCAACATAGTAATTTAAATCATTCTAATGTGTATATTTATTTTCTGAATGTATGTGGTGCTGCTGACTGAATCAAATGTGCACTTTACTTTGAACTGTTTTTGTGGCTAAGTTTACAAGTTTCTGTTGTTCTTTTGCCATTGTAAATCCTTTTTGGACTGTTAATTCTGCCTCCATCTACTAAACCCAATGTTGGGGTTGTCAGTAAATAATGTTTAATGCACTGAGGGTACAGTAAATAATCAAAACAGTAAAATGTATAATTGTACATATGTGTGTTATGCGTTATGTGTCAAGTTTTTAAAGATAAAATTGGACAGTGGTGTATAAGTAATGGGGCATGGGTGGGGGGTGGCTGTGAGTAACATCATCCACCAATCAGAGTAGTATGTCTCATATTACCAGTAAAATTTAATAGTGACTGAGGATTGTATGCCGGGTGCTCAATGTTTTTAGATCAGGCACACAAATCGTAAGTAAACTTTTAGATATACATAAATGCTGTAAAACGTTAAATGAATAATGTAAAAGAAAAGAATGAAGTGAGAATTTCTGCCATTTTAACAACACTGACATTGACGGAGGGGGAAACAAATGCATCAGCGTCAGCTATATCCTGTGCTAAGAGCAGCAGTGCAGCAAGCACCATTAGCTGACACAGAGTCATAAACACTGTGCACGGCCTGATAAAGCTGTCGTCAGGAGCCTGCAGCCCACACCGAAGAAATCAATCAAACAATGAACGCAGGATTGATATCTCCAGGGAGAAGAACAGGAGTCAAGTCTTTTTTTAATTTTATCTTCTATTGTATTGTATTTTTTCCACATATTTTGACTAAACATATTAATTATCCCATACTTTAGAGATCAAAATCAAGTTTTATGCGTCTAGTTTTATAAGCAGCCCAGGTGTATGTGAGTGTGTTTTTGTTAGCTTGAGGGATAATAAAGCACTTTTTATCATATATAGAGCATATATCATTTATAGATATATTTATCTGTATATGTATATGTATATGTATATGTATATGTATCACATATTCCCCTTTAAATTTCTGTTCATTCAACAGCTGGTCTGATCTCTTAAAGCCAAGTCAACCATAATCAATGTGACACAAGCAATGTTTGCCTTCCTTTTGTCACATTCACCCTTTGAAATGAATCCTGGGAGGATGTCGTCTTGCTAATGTCTAGTAACAGAATGGGAAACACGGAAAACGTACATTCAAAATATGAAGGCATTTCTTCATGAGAAGTGACAGTGTGGTACTAAGAACAACAATGGTAAGTTTATAGTCTTATTCTACCTCAGAGCTAGTATATTTTAAAGAGCTATTGATGAGTTAGCCGAAGAGATCAAAATCCTACATCCACTTACACAGCATAAATACATGTAATACATAAAAAGTCATTTAAATTTTAAATAATAATTCAGTGACAACAGTTCAGATCTGATTTAGATGCAATACTAATGATTTTAGCCACGGCGTAAACTAAGAATGCTTTCCTGATAGTTTGATCATTTAGTGAGTTCAATGAGTATTTGAAGAAAGCATTAAAATATCACACACACAGTTTTAACAAATGTTGTAAAGTAATACAGTTTATTTCACTTCTGTAAGGTGTAAAGACGGGAATATGGCATTCCCCAACACTTATGGGCTCATCTTTGCTTGCACCTGTGGCATTATCCTGGGCATTGGACTCTGCGCCAACCTGTTGGTATTCTCTCTGTTTGCCCAACACAACTCGTTACGTAAAAACCGACTGGATATCCTGCTCCTGAGCATGGCCCTGGCAGATTTCCTCACCCTTCTACTCATCCCTTTCACCCTGCACTCAGCTGTCAGTTACTCGTGGCCTCTGGGTGATGTCTCCTGTAAAGTGTACCAGTTCCTTATGGCATTCAGCCTGGCAGCTAGCACTTATTCACTGTGTGCTGTGTCAATGACGCGTGCCATGATAATCACAAACCCCTACCAGCCACCCACAATGGACCTGGTCATCTTTATGTTTGTTCTGGTTTGGGCTTTAAGCTTCTTCATTAGCCTGCCACTGCGGATGTTTGCCACCAAAGAGAGCTTGAGTCCGAGTCTGGCCAACTTCACCTTCTGCCTTCCAACTATTCATGAGCATCACTACCAAGTGGTGCTCAGCCAGTTTGTACTTTACTACTTTATTCCAATGCTGGTCATTGCCTTCAACTATGTGCGCTTGGCTGTTTTTCTTCACAAGAGCCCTGTAATGTCAGTGTCAAGTGCCAGGAACACCCGGCGTGCCTCTCTCATGGTGTTCCTGGCTGCTGCTACCTTCTCTGTGTGCTGGCTGCCTGGCTATGTTCTGGAGCTGTGTGTTTACCTGGGACAGTATCGACACGGACAGGCCTGGGAGATCTTCTATTTCATCTGTACAGTGCTGCAGTATCTGCACCCCTGCATCAACCCGGTTCTCTATGTGCTTCTCTCTAAGCGCTATCGCCACCGGAGGGCGACGTGTCTCTTCAACTGCAACCGAAACAGAGTACAGCCACAAGTCATCAGTGTCACTGACAGCCTTTAGACTCAAAACTATTAGATGCTTCTTTGTGGTTCTTAATTTGTTACACCAAGTTATTTTACAAATTTATTTCAATTTTTTATGACAGAAGGCTGTTTAGGATTTAAGTCACTTCTTTGTCAAGTATTTTTTTTATTAGGTTAAAACAATAAATGCACACAGAATTTCAGAATTTGGTAAATGAAAGATCAAAGTCTCAGACATGACCACATATTGCAAGTGCCACTAGAGCCACACACGAAAAAGAAATGTTTTTTTTTATTTCTTGTGTTGTCTGTATTATTGGTGATTTTATATTTTATATGACTTGCAACTTACACTTACTGCAATTTTAGTGTTTCTGATTGTGATTAGCTCAATTTAGGCTTAACATTGTATTTTTTCTATACATGTCTAGTCTAGTATATGAGTGTATGTATGAATGTGAGAGTTACATTATCATTTTATGTTAACTTAAATAATGGTGTTTTTGTACGTTATATATTTCACAAGGGCAGCAAACCAGAGCTCTAAAAAGAGAGCTATTAAAAGTGAGATAGATTATCTGCTTATATTACAAGACAGACGCAGTAATGAGAAACAGTTGTTTATATAGCAGTCTTTCATCCTCACTTTAATAACGTCATCATTGCTTAAAACTTTGGGCTTGATAACTGAGCACAAATAAGAGACAAATCATGTGTTGTAGATGTGTTATTGTAGTACTGTTGATGATTTATGTTGGTGTTTGGTTAAGTAGGGTAACATTCTTTCAGTTTTCATTTGGCTGGGATGAAACTTACATACATACAGAATAAATGTATGTGATCAAGTAACCACTATCAGTCTAAATATTTTTACACATTTGCAAAACAAAAAATGTTATTAAAGCTTATTATAAATGTCTCTATATTTTAAAACTCTATGTATTAAAACAAATATGATTTACTTTACCAGGTCTACATTAAATCTACAGTAGTACACATTTGTTATTTTACTAGGGGTTAAAAAGAAAGAACAAGGCTGTCTGAGCCCTAGTAGTAACTGGAGACAACCATGCCCTACCCAACTCCCTTCAGTCAACTCACCCCATGACTTTTGACCTTCTCTTTAGCATACACCCAAAGCAGCTGGCATGACTTGTACAAGGTGGTCATCTGCTGGATATGGTAAAGCAATAAAGAACACGTGCCTCTTCTAGCATGTCCACACACAGTGTACTTCATCTGACTATTCCCAGTAAAAAAAAAAAAAAAAAAAAAGCATAAAGAAGAATGACATGTATTTATACTGCTTCTTCTAAAATTAATCAAACACACTTCGTGGAAAATTGTATTGAATGATTGATTGAGTATGCTTATTGATTCTAAGAGAATCATACTGCTGAATTACATTTTGATCTTACACAGCTAACTTGTATAACTAACTCTTTAATGAGCTTATGATAATTACAGTGAAGGTGTCATTGCTTCAAAATACAGCATTAAACTGCATATTATCTGCAAACTCCATATTATCTGCATATTATTCGATACAGTTGCATGTTAAAAACAACACTTCAAAAGACATTCTATGATCAGGGTTGCTCCACAGATCTGGCTGGTGCCTGGTGGCATCACCTGCTTGTCTCCATGGAGATAAATAAGTCTGAAGTGGGCCTAAACACCTAAACTCCGCCTACAGCCACAGTCCAAATGAGCTGAAACTGGGCAGTGCCTGGACAACTAAACGGGGCTGTGAGAGGGGAGAAGGGGCAGGGTCTGGACCAACAAGGAATAGCTTGACTTGTGCTCCAAACTCTGCCCTTGCAGGTGTGTGTCTGATGGAGCACTTTTCAGAGCAGAGGCATGTGATGTCACAGGCCTCTTAAGGTGCAGTAGCAGAGTTAAACCATACTAGGCAGCACACACACTGTTTCTGATGCTTAGTGTACACGCGTTATAGAGCGGAGTCATTGCAAGGTGCATGTCACAACAATGTTGTGGTTCATGTGGGTTTATGCAATAACACAGAAAAGACTGTTTATCTATAAACTTCAGACCAGTGTGGTGTCCAGAAAAAAAGTAATTCCTTGCCGATTCTTTACGTAGACCAACACCTCCTTCAAGACTAGTGTGACAACGTTGATTTTAATGACTTGGTGACCAGGCCCCATTAGGTGTAAACCCAGCATTGTACAATGAAGCAATAAATAT